TCGTTTAACGTTTTGCGGAAAAATCCGGTTATCAATTTGCAGGTTTCTTGAAATTCCCGAAAAAAAAATGGCTGTTCGGAGGTCGTCCACTTTAACTTACCCTTCTGGAGTTAGATAAGTATAGCCCGTGGCGCAACGCGCCGCGCACACCTTGAAATTAGATGCGGAACAACTTACTCCCAGCGGCCCTGGGAAACAACTTCAACTACATTTTTCCACTTTAAACTTACTTCTAAAAATTTCTTTCTCTGCCTATCCTATTTCCCCACATCACGAAACCCTTTAACCCCCCCTTTTCGTAGGACAAAATGCAGGGACTAGGAGTATATGAATGGGACTACTTTTGCCGATAAAGCTATTGATTTCCTCCAAATACGCTATGGATAGTCAAGCTCTGTTTTCTCTCCCACTCTGATGCCTTAACTAGCCATCAAACGCTATTCTGTTAATCTATAAATGGATATAGTGCAGGTTAATTCCGTAGGGGGAAGGTATTTGAATAACACTGGATTGGTAAAAGTAGCAGTGCAAGAAAAATGCAAATTACGTAGGTAATCACATGCCTGTTTCATCTGCAATATCAGTATCCTTTACGAACCCGCGAATCTCGAAATTCTGCAAATATGTTTAACTTGTAAACTCTATTTAGCAAATATACGTTTTCGGCAGAACCCCAGTAGGCATGCTAGCGGTCACATGTCATCCCCACACCCTTATGACAGTTGTCCACTCCGTACACGGGACAGTGATCTTCCCCCCGAGTACTCGGCCCTTTAACTAGACTCGGAGCCTGCCCTACTTGCGTGTTTGTTGTGTTGTGCAGCGCCTGATGCGCGGGTTGGGAGTCCGACGGCGTTAGCTACTTCTCACACTTAACCTGTGGCATGGACAGATCGATAATCGATATCATGATCGCCCCACGCCATTCGCGGCCCACACCTACGAGACGTGTCACGAGTGTTACTTCGCAGCTTTGAAGATAATCGCCCACATCGGCCGCAAGACCGGCCGAAAATTGATTGAAGCCTGGAACTCGGCTGAGAAGTCAGTCAATTGGTCTATCGATCTGGCGTCGGCATACATCGCTCTCCGCAGGCCAATTCGCACGGCCGACACTGGTGGTTGATGAATTCCCTCCCCCTTCCCCTTATATAACGGTTGATTAATTTCTGCTCCCTATCACTGTTGCTTGTTTTTCGTGGACGCTTTTATCTCTCACGATGGACTCCTGCAAGAGCCCGAAACCTCAGAACAATAAACAAATTGAACTGGTGCTCGGCAACCCTTCTTCCTCATACATATTTTACTCCTAGCAGGGGGTAGAACTAAGTTGTATGAACGGCCGTGACCGAAACACTAGCTTAGTCTTGACTTGAATAGCATAGCAACACCAAGCAGGTGAACGGCTGCCGATAGCAAAGGGGGAGGGAATAGAGGCAAGACCGACTCTCATAAGTTAGGAATGGACGCCTCAGTAGACTAAGTCTAAACCTTGGTATTAACTTCAGCCAAAATAAGTCATAGGCCATAGATAGAGGAGTATCTATAACCCGAAAATGTTGGTTTCGGCAAAGGCGTGCTTGATAAAGTACAAGAAAAGTCCAGCTCGTACCTCATCAAGAGAACCCTTGCGTAGGTCGATGAAGTGAACTTTAGTAAGTCCTGCGGGACGTTCGTGTGACCACAATTAGAATTTG